CAGCACGAGACGTGGTGTAGAGAAGAGGTAGGTAACCATAAATACGAGTTAAGAACTCAATGCAGAAACTGCGCTCCTTCATCCACCCCCCTTTCTTGGAGAGATTGTGTTTGCATCGGCCAGTACAGTCAAAAAAATATTTTGTAGGAACCTGCAAATTGAATGCAAAGATTAAGAGAGAGAGAAAGAAAAAAATCGGCCCGTTGTGATGGAATAGGTTGGCTTGCTCCTGCTTGCCAATGATCTCTTTAGGTCTGAACAATGCAAAATAATTACTGGGATAGAAAGGAGACAAGACGAGGGATGACGTAGTGCATCAAACAGCGAATGATTGCTGCATAATTCAAACTGACTCAATATTTGCAGCTATGACTCATTTTTCATTTCCTAAGCATGAGACCCACAGGTTTTCCCTCAGTCTCCGTGAAAGCGCATCAGATAATGATTATCAGTGGCTTCCACAATGTACGTGTGGTAGTGTAGTACCAAAAACATCAGTTGGTAGCTAGGTGCCGTAAGAATGTTTGCAAAATATAAAGTATATAATTTGCACTGACTTTCACGGGTGGTTTTCTGGAGAGATGTGCAGCAAGGAAGTTCATGGCAATGTCTTCACAGTCCTTGATGCGGTCCACCATCTCCCTCACTTCTTTTGGCATCGAGTAGGAGTACAGGTACATATAGGTCTAGGAGGCAAACAAATCTACCGTACATACTCTAATAAACACCCCCTCGAATATTATTATGTAAGTTTCGTTTAGATGCCGGGTCCAGAAATGTCGTTAAGAATTAAATGCCCGGCATTTTTTCTAGTTTATTACCCGTTGCTAGGTCTTTGCTATGTTTATTTTAGCACAATAAATCAGCTATCCACCCAAGAGGCTGAGAAGGTAGGAATATCCACTGTGGTTAGGGTAAATAACTAAGGAATGCTGTGAATATCCACTGTGGTTAGGGTTGGATATCAATGTTTTTATGTCGACGCTGGCAGATCTAGGGAGCGAATGGCAGAGGCTTTCCATTTGGAAGTCGAGGGTTGGGATTCTGAGACGTCGCTGCAAGACTCCGCGTCCGAGAGTAGCGCACCTGGGGACGGGCCGTCGGCATCTAAAAGGCGTAGGCACAAACTTCTTGCTGAGAGCCTCGCTCTTTGCATCATCTAAAGATTCAAACCTCTCTGTAGCTGCGGAAGTAGAGCACGTAGCCCTCTTCCTTGTCAGCGAGAGCCTACGCCTTTTAGATGCCGACGGCCCGTCCCCAGGAGCGCTTCTCTCGGACGCGGAGTCTTGCAGCGACGTCTCAGAATCCCAACCCTCGACTTCCAAACGGAAAGCCTCTGCCATTCGCTCCCTCAATCGCTCCCTCGATCTGTCAGCGTCGATCGTGTTTGCCTGGCTGAGAGGCGTACGATAGAACGGCACGTTATGCATGCGCAGGTTCACGCGCATCGCCTTATTTGGGTGGATGCGCCATTTTCGCGCGCGGTTTCCCCAGCAACGACCAATCAGCGGTAATACATTTTACTAGGAATGCGCACGCGCATGTTTTGCCTCGCGCCTTGCCATGCCATGCCAGCAGCCATGCCAATGCGTAAACACTCCGATCCGACTCAGGCCGCTCGTGCGCGCGCTCTACTGACTGCACACGCGTGCGCGCGCGTGGACGCGAAGCCATCCTTACGAATCTGCGCGCACGGCGGAAGCTAGACTTCCTACGAATGACGGGACTGACATTCCTAAGCGTGACTAATTGACATTCTTAAGCGTGACGACACGTACGTACATACAATTATAAGCATATCGCGAGAATACGTAGTTGCGCCTCACGCTAACAGCGCTCGGCAATTACACCTTTTGTCGTGGTGCTGCGGTTTATCCGCCCTCCCCCCTAGGGCGCTATATACGCGCCCTCGGGGAGTCGGGCGGCAACACCACTCCAAAAGGTGTAATAACATATACATAATTATACAGTAGTTTCTCTGTGTTAGTTGTAGAGTCATGGCATGGGTGGTATTTAATACCACTGTATATAGGTAATTTGTGATGAACATAATCTGCAAAGGCCTAATAATGTGTGGTTGTGGACGTCCCAAGGGAGGGAAGTAAACAGCTCATAATAATATACCTTGTGAATGAAGCTGCTGCTAGTAATCACCATGGACACCTTGCATTCACCATTTCCATAGCTGTAGCTCCACTTCTTGTCCTTAAAATTATATATGTGATTGCGACCAAGAAACCCTACCATCCGATCCCGATTTTCACACCAAACTCTGTGGATTAGACACGGAAGTGCGAAGCACAGTTATTACATACTCAGTGTCAGCAAGCTCAGGCTGTATTGCTAAGAACGTACACACACACACAACAACAACTCATCAAGGTGTCATGTGTAGCTATAGACTGGGGAGGGAAAGGGAGAGAGGGTGCAAATTGAAGATGTGTTCACCAATCTTTTTTGTGCACTTTCTTGCTCATGTGACATGTATGAGAAACCATGCAAACGTATTATTGGCCAAATGCTGGTAGTAGCGTACTATATGTATCATCAACAGCATATGTTCCGTAACATTGCAGCCAGATGAAAGGTTCCCATAGTGGAACTCAGAAGTTTTCCTGAGTGACGTGAGTGTTACGGTCGTATGCACTTTAATTACAGGGTTTTTCATGTCCGGTGATGGAAGCAAATGAAAAGAACTAATAGTAAAGTGCAAACCCTCGGCACAAAACGCGCGCGTTGATGTAAGCCTAGATGGGCTGGGCCATGCATCACTCATAGTGCTTCTTTGCGGACGTACCTTGCTAAACTTGTTATCAATTTAAAAAACAAATAGAACAGAGATCAAAACTGACAGAGAAGAGACACTAAAAAAAGCTGCAAAGGCATCTTGCGGGTTTGCGCGTGTGAGACAATGTAGCCAGCCGGTGGAGGCGTGTGAGCGATCAATCGCTCGTGCGCGTACGTGCAGTTGGCTTTTTCACTTGTTTTCACACCATATCCATTTTTAATCCACCTCCTCGAGTAGGATTAGTTAATCCGGAACACCAGTCACTACAACATGCACATAAACTTGCCTGAAACCAAATTCGATCTCCTCAGGAGCTATAAGGACATCATCATCGAGTTCCAACACAGCTTCGGTCTCTATCTCTTTGTAAGGCAGAAACTTATTGTTCAAACTGTTACCTTTACCACGAACAACCTGTGAAGAGGATGGTGTGTGTTAAATGTCAAATTCTGTACACCTTTACTCACTAACAGAACTTTTCAGCAGAGTTCAAACAACGGTCTGAAGCCTATGCTATTACTAGCAAGTGAACTCCCTTATAGCATGACCATCCTGCATATTATTTGTTTCCTATTTCAAATTGCCAATCTCATGTGGTGCTGTTGTATCCTCCGAAAGTGATCGGTATACATACATCACATGATATGGTACAGTGGGTCCTCTTAATATAAGACCGTTTATTAAAATAACCCGTTTGAGCGACGGTAGACGCTCTATATAGGGACGGCACGGGTCAAATCTCACGTGATCCGCATACAAAACGCCTAAAATCTCGGCGAGAATGACTCGCTAGGCCTTCAAAACACACTAGCAATAGTCTACGGGCCGATATCTAGCTATACATGTCCCCAAATACCTCATACGCACCTTCAGTACTCCACGCGAGAAGTCGCTCATACGCGATTTCACGATCTTCGTGTCATCATAATTATTCCTCGTCTTCTCCTCCTTCTTCTTCAGACCCGCTATCTCCTTACCGGAACAAGTTGCAGCCATGATTTTTTCACTGAACGTCTCCAGGTTACACGGAGGTGTGCACGGCCATCAAGCGATCATTGTCGCAAGTCCCTACAGTTGATCTTTTAGCTCCACCGTGGTACTGAACGGCGCCATTTCCTGCTAACTTGGCCAGGGGGCGTTGTCCGGATGCTCGCGTAGGCCGCGCACGGGCAGCGCGGCGGTTGATTTCGGGCTGTTGGTTTGCTCTGTAGTCCTTACTGCTTTGTGGTGTGTTTTAGTGTCCCTGCTTACCCAACTTCATTTTGCTCTATACAAAAGCTAGTGCATGGTGCTTTCTGTGTAGTCAGAGTGGTTCATAAAAAAAAATAATGGAAACAAGTGGAAAATCATTTCTTCAAAATGAAGGGGGATATAGGGATGGCTCAATGCACCAAAAAGGAAAGAACAAGGGGTCCTTCAACACAAATCAACATGACACTATCCATTATCTTTGTTCTATTGACTAATAGGGAAGTACGATCAGACAAAGATATAGGTATAGTGACATGTTGATTTGTGTGTCTTAGCTGTGAAAGACCCCTTGTTCATATGTAAATGTGTGAAATTCCTCCACCCTAATCGAATGGACAACACCTACTCCAATGACAACTGGCATAGAGCCACATGTCAGAGACTCTATATATCAGTCTTTATTGCCTGTTGCTAAGGTGTTGCTAAGTTTATTCCGCAAAATAAACTGCCAACATGGCTGTGGTTAGGGAGCAGGGAGATGTTGCAGGTGTCAATAACTGGTGTTGATTGGAAAGGACAATAGAATTCCTTGTGGCTAGGGCGATGTTGCAGGTGTCAATAACTGGTGTGGAATTTTAGTCAGTACTGTATACAAATAGCATGAGTCAGCAAACAGAGTCAGCAAATGCACACATTTTGTAGCATTCCGAGAGTTCTTCCACTCCGAGAAGCGCCCACTTGGTGATAGAATCCGCGTAGTGAGCGCTTCCTGCTGAGTTTACGGGTATAGTTATACCATAAAGAGGCCATACGATTTCCCCATACTTTAGCTGTATGTCAACTCATTTGCATAAACCACAATGGGTATATGGTAGTTATACGATAGTAGGAAATTGGCAGTGTGTAATGCAATTGGGGGGCTTTTACACTCCTTGTGTGCTGCTGTTTCTTTACCAGAAGGGAGTGTTTTCAGGATGGAATGGCTACAGTTTGGATAGACCACCCACGCAGTGCCCTATCAAAACTGGCCACTCTTGTAAAACCAGTAAACCACCCACCGCTGGTTGTATAACCTATACATATAGTATACATAACAGCACTTTAGTGGTTTGCTCTAAGTGGGTGTTACAATAGCATGGATCATGAATTTGCCTTACAATTCAGATCTTTCACAACTCTGAGAATATCATTTAGATCAGATGTGAGAATGTGACCAAGATGAGTAACTTTATTAGAATAGCGCTGAACGTGGTTGTTGAATACGAAAACAGGAGAACTAGGATGGGTATGACGAAGACAAAACAAATATTAAGCTGAAGCATTAAACTTGAGACCAAGAGTAGACGCATACGAAGAACATATGTTAGTTACCACGTTTTCTGCGACTATATATGCACAACAAGACTACAAACCTGCGTTCAAAAGTTATGGCGTGAAAAGCAAGTGAACGAGCCAATATGCACAGGCTTACCTCTGGGTCCGCTTGCTCTGAAGTTGAAGGCACTAGAAGTCACAACGAAGGGCGTGTATCGACTCTCGCATGCTATCTACTATCTACTACTGCAGCTAGCCCGTGTCAGACTCTCCGCGAGCGATACTAGCGAGTAAACGCATACTAAGGCCCAGCCAATTAATTAGTGGTACCACGAATGCGCAAGTTTGCCGAGGGTTTGAACTTCAGTGATTTTCATTATCACTATTATTTGTATAAACCTTGGGTATGACATTAACTGGGACCCAGTGTATATACATTGTGGTTACTGCTTAGCCTAACCACAAATGATAGCTGTGCTTCAATTCCCCATCAAGCCATCCTGAGGGTCTTGGGTCAAGTGATGCAAATCTGGACATTTAGCTAATTTACTCACCACAATAGGTATTCCAATATCGGGCCACTTGAGGTCAACAGACGGGTCCTCCTCATTGTTCCAGACAATTACCACTTTGTTCAGGGAAGGAATCCCTTTCAGTATTGCCAGCCCCTCCATCAGTACTTCGTTCCTTTTGTACGTCATTATTACCACAGTAAACTGCTCATTCACAAGAAGATTTTCCTTGAAAGTTGACTCTATGGCAGCTCTTCCGTCCACTGACTGCGACTCATTGTGAGCAATTGCGACCTCGTTCAATCTGCTGAAGTGCAACCCAGGATTGAAGGGGGATGAAGGGTAGGAAAACAGGGGACCTGGGATATCATTCCAGAAACTCGACGAGTAGGCAGTGAAATTATTGGTGAAGAAAGGGGAGGTAATCTGCTTGTGATTGGGAGCCGGGAGGTAAAGGAGCTGTTTCCCACCAAAATCATGAGCAGGGGGAGGTGGGTGGAGAGTCCGTGACCTCACTATTGCTACAGCAACCTGAACAACCTTCAGGGGAGAGCTGAAGTATGTGTGCCACAAATGCCGGCCCTTGAGTCTAAAGTTCTGAATGTCACCTGAACAAACACTTCGCAGGATGTAGGGGATATCAGAGTACCTGCCAGAAGGAACAATGAGTGCTGCCCGACTCCAGTCAATTACTCCGTCGAATGGGAGAACCCCTACTCCAATGACAATTGGTATAGAGCCACACATCAGAGACTCTATCAGTCTAGTATAGATTCCGACTCCTGTTCCAGCGTTAGGTCCACCTGGACTTGGGACGAGGGAGAACATAGACTTGGAACAAAGCTTAAGTCGAGATTTCTGGTCTCCACACAACATCCACTGCCCCTCCCTTGCCCCTTCTGTCTTCCCGGTTGTCGGCTGTTGGCACTGGAGCTGAATGTCCACTCCCTCTTTACCTTGTAAGAGCTGCTGGAGACTTCTGATGTGATTTGGAGTGATAGCACCAGGGCCTGGGTGTTGAGGTGGAGAGTATTCTCCGTGGAAGTGAATAAAAGTCTCTCTGGAGACAGGAAGGAGAGGAGATAGCAAATCCATTGAGTCTGCGTCTGCCGTCCTGAGTGGAGGGAGAAGGATGTCAAAGCCTGTGCGGAACGGCTTGGCTGGTGAGACGACACTCCGTGCAATGATAGCCTTTCCTGTTGAAACACCTTCCAGCATGCTGCTGGCAGGGCTCTGGTCAGTGGACAGCTCAACCAGAACGTGGTTTTCGCCATATTCCCCCCACTGTGCCAGGGAGTGAATTTGTGTCTCCAGGTGGCCAACGTTTTCTCTTGCACTCTCTGTGTTCCAAAGAATACCGAAAAACACACATGCTTTAGCAGGGTCAGAGGTGTATGAACCTGTCTCCTTCAAAACATCTACTAAAAGTTGAGGAGAAAATGGATTTTCGTTCGAAGAAGACACAAGCAGATCATCGTACACATAGGCGGCGAATGGGTCAGTGAGTGGACATTTCTCTAGGTTGAAGCAGACGTCAAATGTACAGGGTTTCCATGTAGTGGTAGAAGGGAGATCATTCTTTCCTTCCTGAATGTCGTGTTTATCCACCTCGCTCTTGTCCTGGTTATCAATTACAGTCACTAAGCTCCTGCAGTCGTTTGTGCTGCTCGTTGTTGACATGTACGCCAAAAGCGCAACAAGTAGAATGGATGCAGGAACCCAAATTACGAGTAACTTCATCGGCTTTCCCATAGCGAGGCAGACAATGACTCTGATCACTGAACCACGAACTGCTACACGACGCTACCAAAGCAAATCGAATGATGGAGGGGGAGATCAGTGCCAATATACGGTGTCAATATACGGTATCTACACCCTAGTTGAGCGACTGCACCCCTGAGTGAACACTGATCTCCTTGGGGGGGCGATAAACGCAACTAGAGTAAGCCACCGATAATCGGGCGCCATGTATTCTCGGACGCATTTGTGAAGTCTGTGCAGGACTATATTTGCTATTGTGTATACCAAAGTGTAGTTCTTGGTCATAAATTGTTGTATAAAAATATTCGCTCTTATCCGAGCTTTACCGTGGGAATGACGTTGCCGTAAAGTTACGATTCGGGCACAGCAAAGATCGGACAAGCGCATCAATGGTAGGACAGTCTCCCAAAACGGGAACAGTATGAATGATCCAAGCGAGTGTATGCTCGATTGATAGGTGTACCTTTTGGCTATATATGCAGCGACCCACAAATGGCACTTTTTTGTCTTCGCTCTTTTTGCTCACGAAAGCGCAAATAGGCGGGGTCGCGTAAGCCGCGTTTTACGCGAAAAGCAGTTTTCGGCTTCTTTCTTTTAACTCATCCGCCGGATGAAGCTATAAAATTTTCTCCTCGTGCTTCTTGCCTTATATTAGATGCCTGCACCACTATTTCCGTTTTTGTAAGATTTTGATTTTTTATAATTACCAATAAAAAGTTAGATCTCACCAAAACGGAAATCGTGGTGCAAGCATCTAGTATAAGGCAAGAAGAACGAGAATAAAAATTTACAGCTTCATCCGGCGGGTCAGTTAGAAGAAACAAGCCGCGAACTGCTTTTCGCGTAAAACGCGGCTTACGCGACCCCGCCTATTTGCGCTTTCGTGAACAAAAAGAGCGAAGACAAAAAGACTTGTCCGATCATTGGGCTTTGAGCAGTGAATGTCGTCGTCTTGTTGCTGCCGCTGTAACGGCAGCGGACGCTGTAAAAACTGCGCCTGTGTTAAGGCTCAAC